TTTAAAGAAACATCTGCGAAATGAGAAACAATTTCTAAAGTTTGAATTTGAAAGAAGACGCTGTTAGAGCTGAGTTATTAAAAGTTCCTGTTCGGTTCTGACTGCGGTGCTCCCTCAGGTTCTGGACCCTCAGTATGGGATGTATGTGTGGCCCTCCGCCGTGGTTCTGGCCCAGTACCTGTGGTTCCACCGAGACCAGCTGAGAGGCCGGGCGGTGCTGGAGGTACGGGTACCCAGAAGGAAACCTTCTGGCCTTTGAGTTTCAGGCCAGTTTCTGACCCCGCGTTGACCCGTGTCGGCCCTCCTGTGCTCAGCTCGGCGCCGGTGTGGGTCTCCCCGGCGTGCTGGCGGCCCGCTGCGGCGCCCGCGTGTCGCTGTCGGACGGATCGGACCGGCCGCGCTGCCTGGAGAACGGCCGGCGGAGCTGCGCCGCCAACGGGCTGCGGGACGTGGGCGTGCTGGGCCTCAGCTGGGGGGACGTGACCCCGGAGCTGCTGCTGCTGCCCCCACAGGACGTCGTCCTCGGCTCGGACGTCTTCTACGACCCCGAGGGTCGGTGTGAGAGTCGGAGATGAAAGCTCGCTCCTCCTTGTCGTGTGGCTGAGCTGCTGCTTCTGCTTCCAGATTTTGAAGATGTTCTGGTGACGTTTGTCTGCCTGCTGAGGAAAAACCCGGAGGCTCAGTTCTGGACGACGTACCAAGTGAGGAGGTACGGCTGCTGCTAGCTGCTGCTGCTAACTGCTAGCTGCTGCTAGCTGCTGGCTGCTGCTGCTAGCTGCTGCTGCTAGCTGCTGGCTGCTGCTGCTAGCTGCTGCTGCTAGCTGCTGCTAGCTGCTGCTAGCTGCTGCTGCTAACTGCTAGCTGCTGCTAGCTGCCGGCTGCTGCTGCTAGCTGCTGCTGCTAGCTGCTGGCTGCTGCTGCTGCTGCTAGCTGCTGGCTGCTGCTGCTGCTAGCTGCTGCTGCTAGCTGCTGGCTGCTGCTGCTAGCTGCTGCTGCTAACTGCTAGCTGCTGCTAGCTGCCGGCTGCTGCTGCTAGCTGCTGCTGCTAGCTGCTGGCTGCTGCTGCTGCTG